TGGGTGTCCCCATGCTGTCCCCTCACCCCTCACCCCGTGTCCCCATGTCCCCAGCTGCTGTGGGTGTCCCCATGTCACCTGGCTGTCCCCTCACCCATTGTCCCCATTGTCCCCGTGTCCCCAGCTGCTGTGGGTGTCTCCATTGTCCCCATGCTGTCCCCTCACCCCATTGTCCCCGTGTCCCCAGCTGCTGTGGGTGCTGCTCCTGGCCACCACCATCGGGCTGTTGCTGCAGCGTTTGGCGGCGCGGCTGGGCGTGGTCACCGGGCTACACCTGGCAGAGGTGTGTCACCGCCAGTACCACAAGGTGGGTGACATCGGTGTCACCAGTGTGTCACCGCCAGTACCACAAGGTGGGTGACATCGGGGTCCTTTGGGTGACACTGCTGTCCCCTGGGTGACATCCCTGTCCCCTGGGTGTGGTCACCGGGCTACACCTGGCAGAGGTGTGTCACCGCCAGTACCACAAGGTGGGTGACATTGGTGTCACCAGTGTGCCACCGCCAGTACCACAAGGTGGGTGACATCGGGGTCCCCTGGGTGACACTGCCATCCCCTGGGTGTCACCGCCAGTACCACAAGGTGGGTGACAACACTGTCCCCTGTGTGTCACCGCCAGTACCACAAGGTGGGTGACATCGGTGTCCCCTGGGTGCCACAGGGCGGGGCTGGGGACAGTCTTGGGGGCTGTGGGGACATTTGTGGCTATGGGGACATCTGGGCCGTGGTGACATTTGGGAGCCGTGGTGACATTTGGGATGTGGGGACATTTGGGCTGTGGTGACATTCAGTGCCCATGGGGACATTTGGGACTGTCCCATCCCCGTGCAGGGCTATGGTGACATTTGGGCTGTGGGGACATTTGGGACTGTCCCATCCCCGTGCAGGGCTTTGGTGACATTTGGGATGTGGGGACATTTGAGAATGTCCCTTTCCTGTGACTTGGGAAGGGCTGTGGGGACATTTGGGGCTGTGGGGACATTTGGGTTTATGGGGACATTTGGGGGTTGTGGGGACATTCAGTGCCCGTGGGGACATTTGGGAATGTCCCATCCCTGTGCCCTGGGCAGGGCTTTGGGGACATTCAGGGCTATGGTGACATTTGGGACTGTGGTGACATTTGGGGACTATGGGGACATTTGGGATTGTCCCATCCCTGTGCCCTGGGCAGGGCTGTGGGGACATTGGGGCTGTGGTGACATTTAGGGCTATGGGGACATTTTTTTTATGACATTCAGATTTTTTCCTCCATTTTTTCTGATTTTTTTCCCCCATTTTTTTCCTTCCTTTCACATTTCCTCCCCCCATTTTTTTAACGATTTTAGGATTTTCCTCCCATTTTTTTAAAATAATTTTAGCATTTTTCCCCCATTTTTATTTAATTTCAGCATTTTCCCCATTTTTTTTTTAAATTTTATTTTTTCCTCTAACTTTA